TAGCTTAGGAAAGAAATGTTGCTTTGCTCTATTCTGCAAAGGTGAAGAGGATTTATTCCTTTACCACTATCTACATTTCTCCCCTAAATACTTCAACTCCATGTTAAATAATTTCTCAAAGGATTCACATTCTTAAATCAGAACCCCAGGGCTCTTCCCCTCTGTGAAATTAAACCAGCCATGTGCTACTAGAAACACACTTATAAGAACCCAGGTTTCAGTTAATGGTTGGTTACCAACCTATTCTGAGTTTTGGGTATTCACAAACTATTGCCCTCTTGGAATTTTACTGCCAGGGACTCCAAACTCATATTCATCCCCCATCTCCAATCCATTATTTATGTTTTAAAAAGATGTTTGTTTTTAATTAATTTTAGAGAGAGGGGAAGGGAGGAGAGAGGTAGAAACGTTGATAAGAGAAATATCGTTTGGTTGCCTCCTGCACACCCCTTATTGGGGATTGAGCCTGAAACCTGGGCGTGTGCTCTGACCAGGAATAGAACAGGCAACCTCTTGGTACTTGGATGATGTTCAACCAACTGAACCACACTGATGAGCTCACTTTCATTTTTATCCTTTAAAGAGAGCTCAGTGGACCTGAAAAACCATCTAATTTAACTCCTTACTTTACAGAAGAAGAAACTAAGATGTAGAGAAGAAAACTAATTTGTCCTAGACTATATAATAAGTTTATTCAAGAATTAATACTTCAGCCAGGTTTCTTCCTGTGCGTTTGGTCCATTTGCAAATGTGAGTATTTTCAAGGAGTTTTTGGAGGTTTGAAGCAGTTTTGTTTCTCCCAGTAGTGAGCATTTTTAGGGCTTTCTGTGGCAGAGGGAAATAGGAGACTGTTGCACACATTTGGAAAATATTTTGAAGCAGCGTTGCCAGAAGCACCTGATTAGGAATCCCAAGTATCCAAAAGGAAGGCTTTAGAAACTCTCAGGTGTGCACATAGAAGAATTGCAACAGTAATGCCCCAGGAGAGAAAATGAGGCCTTATTTTATTTACTAAGAGGTCCAACAGTATGCCATATTGGTGTGAACCATCCTCAAATATTGCAAAAACAGGAAATAAGATTGACTTTTCTGAAAATTTTCCTTGTTTTCTCTCAAAAATTAGTTTTACCCCCACTGGGTCCTTACAACACTTTGTTTATATTTACATTATACCTTCTCAAATAGCTACTTACTGACTTGTGCTCTACTATCTGTCAGAACATAAGCCCTTTAAGGATAAAGACATTCATTAAAAAGTAGATTTAATTCATTTTTGAGATAAAAATAAACATAAGAAAGACTGTGATTGATAGTTATATCATTAATGACTTTTGTTTCATTAGAACTCAAGAAGTTTAGAAAAAAAGATAAAACAGTTTTGTAGGAGAATAAAAAATCTTCTCATGAAGCCAGAAAGAACATCATAATATTTAATCATAGTTGGAGATTTCTTTTTTAAAATTTCTTTATTGATTAAGATATCACATATTTGTCCTCATCCCTCCCATTCCCATCCCAAACCCCTCCCCACGCATGCCCCCTCCTCCCTGTTGTCTGTGACCACTGATTAGGCTCATATGCATGCACACAGTCCTTTATTTGATCTCTTCCCCATTATCCCCACCCTCCCCTACCTTCCCTCTGAGGTCCTACAGTCTGACCTATGCTTCCTTGATTCTGGGTCTGTTCTTGTTCATCAGTCTATGTTGTTCATCATTTCCCCTAGATGAGTGAGATCATGTGCTACTAGAAACACACTTATAAGAACCAAAAATGAGACAAGCAATAATGGTTATGCTGAGAGGCAAATGAATCAGTCTGTAGTAAGTTTCTTTCTGGGCAGTTCTTTTGAGTCCCAATTTCAATGTCAAACAGTTCCTTACGTGTACATGTCAGCAATATTTCAGTTCTGGATGGTGGACAAATGGTGGTAATGCAGGTCTGACCCTCTCTGGTTTGGTCCTGGGCAACCTGCAGTGACGCACAGCTGCTGACTGCTAGTATGGCAAGGTATCATCAGTGTCTTCCATCTCTGGACTATTTCTCTCCTGTCTTCATGGTTAGAATAGTCCTGTCAATTCCTCTCTGTTGCAGGAATCCACATGGTCTTGGAGTTGTTTTCTGAAAATATACAAACATATTCTCGACCAAAAGTTAATAAAGGAATCTTTTCTATAAATTTGACTTGCGATCCTTTTTCATTTTTTTGCCCAAATTATTTTCCTTTGGCTTATTTTGACACTATGTATGCTGTTAGCATTACAAATGAAAGTTAATTTTCTAAAGTAAAAATTTTCTAGATGTAATTTACTTTCAGGCTATTTTTCCTTACATGATATTCTTCTACTATCCCCCCTTTTTTGATTTAAATATTAGGAGGCTTTTGGAAATTTTATAATGTAATCTTGATTGCTTTTAAATTTAAAATTTTGCACTAAAATATTACTGCTTTAGGTTAATTACATGTTACACAATTTTACCATGAGATGAACTACCAATAAAAATTTTAGACAGCTTTTTGTCCAGTACAATTAAATTTTCTAGAATATTCACTTATTTCAATTGGCCAATTTAAATTAGCCTGAAGACTACTATTTTACTGTCAAATTTAATACTCTAAAAACAGTCTTATTTTACCCTGTAAATATTAGTGGAAAGGATTATTTGCCTTCTTGAGTAGGCCCTGAGAATTCCTGGAGATTTCTTCTTAATGATAGTGAAGGGATTAGAGTTAGAGGATACTGGGTATATGTGTAAGGGGTCAGGAGAGGCGATAGTAGCAGAGTTTGATGAAAGCTCTTTCCTGCTTTCAGTGGCTTGATCAGAATCATTTTAGTAATGGAAACTAGAATCAATAAATCTTTATCAAGGAAGTAAAATATTCCATTAGTCTTAACTATAGTACTAATCATTGTCTGTCAGAAGAGTTAGAAAACATATCTAGGGAGAGTTGACTGCTTTCTGGTCTAAGTGACTACAGTCCTGTTCCTTTAAGATTCTAAGTTGACACCATTTGAAATTGGTTTTTAGATAAGAGTTTCTATTGGTAGCTAATTTTGTGAGACTGTTACATTTTATTTCATTTTAGTGTCTTGTGATGCTTTTGCTATTAATTTTTCCCAAAGTGATATAACAGAGAATAGAAATCGTGAAGAGAAGAAAAAGACAGAGAAAGTAGGGAGGGAGGAGAGGAGGAGGAGAGGAGAGCAAAAAGAGAGAGAGGGAGTGCTCAGCCAGTGTGGCTCAGTGATTGAGCATTGACCAATGAATCAGGAGGTTGGTTGATAGGGACACATACTTGGGTGGGTTGTGGGCTCCATCCCCAACGCAGGGGAGTTCAAGGGGTGGCTGATCAATGATTTTATCTCATCATTGATGTTTCTATCTCTCTCCCTCCCTCCCTTCCTCTCCGAAATAAATAAAAATAAATCTTTAAAAAATTAGTTTTTAAAAATGGAGGGAGGGAGGGAGAGAGAGAGAGAGATCCTTCAGGAGTGGAAAACATGTAGGCTAATGTGTAAGAAAAAAGTCACAATGGAAAATCATAGGTATTCAGAGAAACATTACTTTTTATTCAAAAGAAAAAAAGAAAATACTGTTACATTTTAAACATACAAGTAAGCTGCATCTCAAATGTAACAGTATAAGGGATAGTCATCAAAAGATATACTAGTAAAGCTGGTCATGGTTTAGTGGAAGTCACTGAGCCAATGGCTATTTGAACAGTAGCTTAGTATTCTTTTTGAAAACAATATAGCTAATTCTCCAAAATAAGTGACTCTGTGGGGATGAGGAATTTTAAAAAATCTTTGTTACAAAATTTAGCTTAAACTGGTTTGGCTCAGTGGATAGAGCATCAGCCTGCGGACTGAGAGGTCCCGGGTTCGATTCCAGTAAAGGACATGTGGGCACATCCCCGGTGGGAGGTGTGCAGGAGGCAGCTGGTCGATGTTTCTAGCTCTCCATCCCTCTCCCTTCCTCTCTGTGAAAAATCAATAAAATATTTTTTAAAAATTTACAAGAGATTTAAAATATTTGGTGCTAATTATAGAAGTGCTACTGGTGACTTCCCTCAAGCCCAATGATAGAATCATAATGACCTCTACTTAATATACATAAAGAATTAAGGGTGGGGATTGGTAAGGTATATACACATATAATATCTTAATAAAAAAATTAAAAAAAAAGAATTAAGGATAAAAAGCCATTCTGAAATGAAGGTTCTGTCTACATTGACCATTAATAAATTAGCCAATGTGATTTTTAGTATAATTGGTATGTAAAAGAGTTTGTGGCCAGTTCTAGTGGTGCTAATAGCATTGTTACTGAAGAAAATATGGTGTTATCATAAACTAAAGAATCTGATTTAGTTACTGGGATAAATGATAAATTATAATACTTAGGTTAAATATTAAGTTCAAACCATTCCTTTAATTTTCAATCTATACTTATTTTGTTAGCTAATTAATAAATTATTATGGGGGCTTTCTGGGTTTGCTGATTACATGGTTGAAAGTTATAATTTCCATATCTATAAGAAATTGCTTCAACACTAAAGCATTATTTTTACTAAATATATCATTAATAATGACTCTGGATATTCCATTGAACAATAGTATCTGGGAACTTTGTTCTCCAGCAATTAGTACTGCTTATCTCTTTTGCATTTTCACTTTCATTCTTTCCTATAATGATGGCAGCTAAATTGCTTGAGTTATTCTCCTAAGACAAAAGGGGTATGGTGTGTGTATGAGAAAGGGTGGGGGGAGGAGGGAGGGAGGAAGGGAGAGAGAGAGGGGAAGAGAAGAAAGAGAGAAAGAGAGAGAGAGAGAGAGAGAGAGAGAGAGATGACAGACAGGTAGGTTGGCCTAAAACAAAACTGGGTAGTATAAAGTTGCTTTTTTTATTATTTGCTTTTGGATTCTTCTTTATGAATCTTGCCCTATCCTCATCTATTATATTACCTCTTCATCTCCCATTCAAGAAGAGCTTTAGTATTACATGTTAACAATTTTTATATACCTGTTGATGTAGGAGCCAATCTTAATGATCCCTTAGATTCATCTGTGTGCACAGTGGAGATGGCAATATTTTCATATCTTTCCTGAGGTGTAAAGCACCAGCAGTGGTGAATAAGCACCACCAGGTCCTTTTGGAAATTTTTGTTGAGAAAACCATAAAAGAGAGGGTTTATGCATGTAGAAACCATAGCAACCAAGTGGCAAACCACAAACACCAGGTCATGGTGGCAGCTCATCAACACCTCATGATTCCAGTCAAAGATGACATTGAAGATGTTCAAGGGCAACCAGCAGGCCCCAAATGTCACCACGATGGAGATCAACATTGTGTTAATCCTCTTGTTCTCATTGAGCCGGCTCTCATTTTCTCTCTTCCTGTCTACCTTTCCATTTCTCTTATGGAGGCAGATAATAATCTTCATGTAGCAGATGAGGATGAAGCTCAGAGGGAAACAATACTGGAGCATAAACATGGAAGTAGTAAAGAGGAGCTGGTTCATTTTGGAGGGCCAGTTCTCTACACAGGCAACATGGTGAGTATAGAGGTCAGTGGGTAGAGAGAGGTTGTGGAAAGGCATATCAGTGAGGTGGTAGGACAGGAAGAAGGGAATAGACAACAGAAGAGAAAATAGCCAAATCAAGGTGATACCCCAGTAGGCATGAGATACATTGGGCTTCCAGCCACGGGGGTTCACAATCAGCTGATATCTTTCAACAGCAATTAACACAAGTGAGAATATGGATACAGAAATGGAGACACTCTGTACATAGGAAGTTAGTTTGCACATGGTATCTCCAAATATCCAATGGTCCATCAGAGTATAGATGACAGTAAAAGGGATGCACATAACACATACCAAGATGTCAGAGAGAGAGAGATTGGTAATCAGTATGTTGGTGACATTCTGAGCTTCTCTCTGCTTCTTGAAGATGATAATGATGAGAGAGAGGTTTCCAGAAAGGCCCACAATTAAGACCACAGTATAGGCTATTAGTAATAGGAGCAAGACTAGAAAAGGGGGTTGACAGGAGTCAAAGTAGAAAAATGCAGAGTTATTGCTCTTTATATTGGTTTTATTAGGTGCTGAATGGTTTAAAGGAAATTCCATTTTGTCAGGGTTATGAGAAAGTTTTTCTAAGCTTACTTGTTTTGTTGGTGAATACTTTGACCACCAGTTCTTAGGAGGTACTTGCTCTGAGACTTGCAAGGAGTAATTAGGATGATTTAATCTTCTTTGATCTTTATCTGTGCTTGATGAAAATGTATGAAAGACTTGAGTATGCTCTGTAAATCCTAAAATATTAAACACAATGCAGAATATTAATGTAAGTTCTTTACAAACTAGACAGTTCTATAGGCGGAACAGTTTCCCTGAGAGGATACAGGTAGATATCCAGAGTGTCTCTCTATATCCTGGCCTTCCTCTCATCTCAGAGTGCTTTATTTTTGTTCTACCAGCATAGTTTTTAGAGCTAATGAATATAAAGATATGTGACAGGATTCTGTCAACTGTATAAGGCAGCCCAAATATACATCCCGATCCCTGTCACCTTCAGTCTTGTGTGTGTGTGTTGTGGAGGCCAGAAGCAATATGTTTGGAGTTGAGTTCCAGTTGGAGCATCACAACTTGGTGTCTGTATGACTTTGCCATAAATTAATTAGCCTTTCTGCTCAGTTTTACTATCTGTAAAATGGGGATAAAAATGTCTGTTTGGTCATTGTAAGGATTAAATGAAAACACACAACTGAATTTGTCCCCCACATAGTGCATTTATAAAGGAAGCTGACCAATAGTAATGAAAGAGAACAGACTTTTATATGCTGTTTGAAATTACCCTGGCTTGCTTTCACATTCTCTCTTGAGTTCAAAAGCTTAGCAGATTCTTTTTTTTTTTTTTTTTTTTTTTAATATATTTTTATTGATTTTGTACAGAGAGGGAGGGAGAGAGATAGAGAGTTAGAAACATCGATGAGAGAGAGTCATCGATCAGCTGCCTCTTGCACACCCCCCACTGGGGATATGCCCGCAACCAAAGTACATGCCCCTGACTGGAATCGAACCTGGGACCCCTCAGTCCCCAAGCCGACGCTCTATCCGTTGAGCCAAACCGGTCCTGGCAGCTTAGCAGATTCTTATTGAAAAGAAATAACCTTAAGAATACCTATGTCTATAATGGTTTTATCAATGGATACTACAATGAGGAACACTATAAAAATACCACAGATGAAAAGAAACTGTTGATAAAATAATATGTTTAATAAAGAAAGACCCAAGGAAATGATCTATGACTCAGATATGGTACAGTGGCAAGTAGAAATAGCAACATTTAAAATAAGAAACAGTGGTTTTTGAAGTGAAGGTTTAGGGTTTGGATGATTCAGGGGTTCAGCAGCCTTAAAGTTTACAGGTATTGGCTGAAGGGGAATGTCAAGACAGATTTAAGTTCTTTATGACAGTGAGTGGACCAGAAATACAAATGAGAAATAGAAAGCTTTAATTGTTTATTGGAGACCTTCTACCAAGCAAGCTTAACTTGGAAGAAAAAAGGAATGAAAAGGAAATAGGAAATAGGAAATAACTACATGTACAGATTGGTAGGCTAGAATGAGCTGGCAGGGGAGTAGTTAGGAATCAATCAGGCTGGCAGGGGAGTGGCTAGGAGGTGATCAGGCTGGCAGGCAGAAACAGGGGCAACCAGGAAGGCAAGCAGGCAAGCAGTTGGGAGCCAGCAATCCTGGATTGTGAGAGGGATGTCTGACTGCCTGTTTAGGTCCAATCCCAGTGGATCCCAGATTGGAGAGGGTGCTGGGCTGAGGGACACGCCCCAACCTCCCATGCACGAATTTCATGCACCAGGCCTCTAGTCTTACCTAATAATAGATAGATATATAAATTGACTGTACCTCTGCCATGCCCACAGCCAATCAGAGTGAGTATGCAAATTAACCCTAACCCTAAACCTAACCCTAACCCTTTACATGTTTATCTAGGGGAGTGGACCTAAACCATCAATAGGACATCCCCTGAGGGCTCCCAATATGTGAGAGGGGGCAGGCTGGGCTGAGGGACCCCTCCCTAATGCACGAATTTCATGCACCAGGCCCCTAATTAAGTTATAATATTGAATACTGCCTATCTGGAAACAAAATGTTGGGATACATTTCTATTTTAGGAAAGTTCATCTTTGGTTTATTTGGTTGGAAATGACCAGGACTGTGAGATCTCAAATTACCAAGTGATATTTTACCCAAAAATATGTTTATCATATGGTAGAGGTTTATAATCTTCAACTTTCAACTTCATTGTATGTAGCTCCTGAGGCAGATGCCTTAAACTGGCTACTGTACTTTTGTGTAAATGTACAATATTACATTATACATTTTTTGGTACTCTTTGTTTCAAAGTTTCAAGATGACCAAAACTTATATACTCCACCATAGTATAAATAAATAGATGCATATTTATTTTTGTTTCTGAATTTCATCTTGTTAGTGTGTGTCCTTTCTTATGTCTCTATTCCAATAACTCTTTTTGGGGGAGTATGTAGGGTTAAGGATAGAGTTCATGTGTGTCTGTCCTTTGGTTTCTCTGTGTTTGGTTTTTGTTTGTATTTTTACCTTTCATTGTTTTCTTCTCTTTCTATCTGTTATCTCTTTTCTATTTCACCTTTTCCCTTAATTATCCATAACCCAGAAAAACTAAAGTATATGTTAGATTATGTATTATATTTCATTTGGTGCTGTGGTGTTTTGACCTTGAAGACTACAAGAAATTTCTGTATTTCTTTCTCTTAATATTAAAAGCAAGTGAGTAGCCTGGCCGGTGTGATTCGGTAGTTATGTGTTGACCTATGAACCAGGAGGTCACGGTTTGATTCCAATAAGGTCATATGTCCAGTTTGTTGGCTTAATCCCCAGTGTGGGGGGTGCAGGAGGCAGCCAATGGATGATTCTCTGTCATCATTGATGTTTCTATCTCTCTCTTCCTTTCCCGTCCTCTCTGAAATCAATAAAAATATATTAAAAAATTAAAAGCAGGTGAGTAGGACATTTTATATTTCTTTTATATTAAAAAATTCTTTACGTAACTTCAGGGAGTCTGTGGCTTTGTGCAAAGTGAAATTTTTCATATTCCCACTCCCCAAGTATGTATGTAAGGGTCCTATACTGCTAGCATCTCCCCCCTGCCCCACCAATAGAACTCTTTCTCCTTTTTATAAAACCTCTAAGAATACAGATTCTAAGGTTGTGTTGGTACAAATAACACCTAATACTTGTTTAGAGCTTAATGATTTTTTAAAAATTCTTTATTGTTGAAAATATTACATATGTCTCCCCCCCCAATTGTAAAACTTAATTATTTTAAAAATACTACCCCATTTATTAATTCACTCAAGAATTTAAGTACTAACAAAGTGCTCTGTCTTATTTGATCTCCAAGTGGTCCTTTACTTTTGATAGGAATGATACTTTAATTCTATCTGGAGTAGACTAAGTCACTAGCAACTAAGACCCAGCGACTTTCTCATGGTTATGTAGTTAGTAGCAGAGCCAAGACTTCTACTTTTTAAACCACATGCACAGTAATATTGCTAGTTTATATGATCATTTCATATTAAAAAACAATTAAATTAATATTTTATCCCCCATGAAAACAAATATAACTAGAATCTCTGTAAAGATACATCTTAAAGCCTTCCCTAAGAACGAAGGACTAAATTAACTAACCACAAGAAGCATCAAGAAACAATGCCTACTCTCTTTCAGCCTTATTAAAAGTAATAGGCCTCGTTATTCCACATCATGCAAACTCCTTATCCTATTATTCACCCATTCCAAAAAATACAATTTCATGTTCATCTATTGAGATTTGGGGATAACATTAACTCATCTGTTCTTTTGGGGATAACATTAACTCATCTGTACTTTGATTTTCTCTGCTGGAGATAGTTTATCCATTTTTTCCTTGAATTTGACAATTGCCTGAGTTCACAAAAAGTGTTAGTGAAAAATATATACTTTTCATCTTCCAAAGTCTAATAGTTACTTTTAAAATCAAGCCAACACAGATTGTCTGAATTGGCTTTAATTTTCTAGGTTAATGACTGAGCTTACCATTATAGAGATGTTAAGGGTTTTTAATTCTTTAAAAATAATAACACATTAAATGTATCAAGAAGAAGAACTAAATTCTGTCAATGGAAAAAAAAAACAAAACCCACGTTTTTAAGTTTACTTAAAAACAGACAAAACAGAAAGTAATTAAAACTCCATTGTGCTAATACTAGCATTTGGTGATTTCCTTTAGAAATAGTGTACTCCAAAACTATGGCATTGCTTTTCAGATCACATAAACAAGAAGACAGCTGATATAAACAGGCCTGAAAATAGGATAGTTCTAATTTTTAATAATCTTCACATATTTTATTTTATTATTTTAAATCTTTGCATATTTTAAAGTGAGGTTGTTTTAATATAAATAAACATTAGAAAAACACATTAGCAAGATTTTTCTTTAGCATTGAAGAGGTTTGTTTCCCAGTTTCTTACCTGTTGGAAATTTCTCTCTCATGCTATTCTTTTCATCTTCTACATGTTTTCTTTCTTCATTTCCATGATTATTTTTCTAAGTTTATTTCTCTTCAAAAGATGACATGCTTGCCACGTCTCCAAGTCACAACATCCCTCTCTTTCTTCTTGGCTTATCTGTCCACCAAATAACATATAGCTTCATTTCAGATGCTGCCTCTTGGAGTTGAAATCATCACACACAGCTCTGGAATCCAGCAGGATCTGAGACCAATGAAAAACCAGAAGGGAGGAGTCAGGATCTCAGCCCAATATATTAGATGGAACTGTTTAAAAGATGTGTCAAAATATAATTTTCAGTCATCTTGTAGAGATGATAGTAAGAGAGCATTTTGAAAATCTATGGGATTTTCTGGCATATACAGGATTGGGCAAAAATAGGTTTATAGTTCATATGGAAAATACTATAATAAGAATATAAGAATAAACTCTGTTTCATATACACTGAGTGGCCAGATTATTATTATCTCTGTATATATTGTATATATATTAGAAGCCCAGTGCATGAATTCATGCATGGGTGGGGTCCAGCCAGCCTGGTCAGGGGGAGGGGACATGGCAATTGGCTGGCCTGCCTGCTGGTCTCAGTTATCTATGTGTTACAGCTGATAGATTATACCAGAGCTTGGTGAAAAAAATCTTCCTTTTTTTTTCTCACCCTGCTATAGCTATCCTTACCTCTGTCAAGGACTCTTGC